CATGGCACCCACTACCCGGGTTCACGGTCCATAGACTTGTAGACTCGTTGTACAACCTAGACCGGAAACTGTCATAGCCTTGGGTTTTTATGTGTTTTTTTATATTTGTTTGGCTGTTGTTGTTTTGGAATTGTTTGAAATTCTAATTTAAAAAATGTTTTGGGTGGGTTCACGGTCCATAGACTTGTAGACTTATACAACCTAGACCACGCACTGTCAAGGCCGCCACTACAAGGGTTCACGGTCCATAGACTTGTAGACTTCTTGTACAATCTAGATCACACATCTGTTGCCCGCCCCGCCCCAATTTCAACTGCCAGGGTTCTCGGTCCATAGACTTATAGACAACCTAGACCACGAACTGTCATGGCCACCACTGCTCTTTCTCTCTATAAAACTTTGCAGCACATTTCCATTTGTGTTTTTTTTTTAATTCTCTATCATAACGACACCGCCCAAGAAGTCCACCTGTCTAAGACAACCACTTTTCTTCCCAACCAACCACACACACCCCCTACCCCCTCCCCATTTCCAAACCCAACATACTCTCCCTCCCCCCTCCTCTCCCCAAAAGACAAACCTTTTTTCCCCTTCCCAACCACACACAACCCTCCCTCTTTCCCAACCAACCACACATACCCCTCCCCATTTTCCAACCACATACCCCCCACCCTTCCCCTTTCCCAACCACACATACCCCTCCCCATTTTCAAACCCAATATACATTAAAAAACACACATCTTTGTTTCCCTTCCCAACCACACATACCCCCCTACCCCTTTCCCAACCAACCACACATACTACCCTACCCCTTTCCCAACCAACCACACATACTCCCCTACCCCTTTCCCAACCAACCACACATAACCCCTCCCTCTCTCCCAACCCAACATATCCCCCCCCCCCAAACACAACCGTCCCTCCTTCCCAACCACACATACCCATTCCCTCTCATAACCACACCCACCCATCCCCTCTCATAACCACACACACCCATCCCCTCTCATAACCACACACACCCATCCCCTCTCATAACCACACGCCCCTACCCCCTTCCCAATGTCCTATTTCCCATCCAACAAAAAAAAAACTCACACAAAAAAAACCCCCCAAAAAACCACACAACAAAAACAAATCCAGAGACAATTCCAAACACAGCAAACATAATCCGTTACCACACAAAAAATAATATTTTTAAAACCCAAAAAGACAAATAAAAAACAAACAAAACAAACAAAAACACGGATTTAAAAAAAAAAACCCAAGAAAATGGTTCTCACACTCACACAAAGAGGTTATATATCAAATAATATATATATAATTTTCTGTACTTGCGTTATGTCTGCCTCTAGATCTAGCTTTATACTATATATATATAATGTGAAGCGTGCTGACGAAATGAGTGATTGTTCGGTTTCAATCCTTATGGAAATAGATACGTCATGCTTAAAAAGGTGAAGTTTTTTACCATTTATAAGCATAAAATAATAAAAGACAGCTATAATTAAAGAATAATTATGTTTCGTTAAGAGAAAATTTACAAAATCAACCCTTTCGTAAACTTTTGGCCAATATCTTCATTTGGGGATAGCAAGAAGTAACTCATTTTGTCAGCACGCCTCATACATATATATA